GAAGGATGTTGGTTTGGGGAAGGTGAGAGTTGGGCTAGAGCACAGCATGAGCCAAGGCTCTGCTCCTGTGAAAGAGACCATGAAACCCATTAGTGAGCAAGTCCAGCTTTCCAACAATGAGGAAAAAAGAGGTTTTCAAAATAAGATGTGCTAAAGAATACTGGAACATTCTCTTTAATTGCTTAGAGTGCATTTTCTCACACCCTAACCCTAAATACAGCTATAAGGAAGATAAATTCCAGCAATGATTTTTATTGCTGCTACTGGCCTTTGAGAAAATGAATTGAATTTTCACAGTGTCATTAAAATAAAGCATATCTTACAGAGTGGCAGCAGTAATGGGATAAGAGAAGAGAAACTAATCTTTCCCCTAAATCACATGGTTTCCTTTTTCACTACCTAACCCACTGACAAGTATATTGGGTTACTAGATTTTGGAAACGGGAACACAAAGCAGGAGTGATCTGTTCATTAATTACAATGTCAGCTCCTGAAGGCAGAGATTTGATTTTGTTTTGTAAAATTCTGTGTCTCCAGCATCTAGTATCATACCTAGAATATAGTAGGCATCTAATAGAATTGTGAAGTAAGTTTTTGAGTAACTTATGAAAGGAAAGATGTTACTGTGATGAAAATATGAACAATTTATCTAGGCCTATCTTCTGGTTCAAGTCCAAATGTAGGCCTGGTTTGCTCTATGACCTAGAGAAAATGCCATTATTTTATTTAGGGCACCTGAGGGTTCTATTCATGCACTTTCCTCTACCCTAAGATCAAGAATCTCTTTTTCCTCTCTTTTCCCTATCAGGGTTCCCATACTCTGATCAAAATCAGGTTTCAATGATGACTAGCTCCTAGGATGTTTTTGTGATTAGTCAAATTTATCTGGACTGATCTTATCCTGCTTTACCTCGGGTATTGCTGTGAGTAATAGTAATCAGCTTGATGGCCTCAGTAGGAAAACTTTATGTAAATTCATTAAGACTTTCTTTCTTGCCCAAACTGACCCTGAAGGGTGGGTACTGAAGATGTAAGAATCTCTTGTCCATCTTGCAAATAGTTTTATTATAAGATTCTTATCCTATTTGAACTATACCAAAAATGGAAATAAAGATGCCCTGTGTAGAGTCCAAATGGAGGTTGCACAGCGATGACCAGTGTGAACTTCCCTGCTGCCCTCTGGGGAGAAAAGCTTTCTTAGATGGAACCAGACAGTAAAGCAGTGACTATTGCCACCTATTGTGTCAAATACTATGGTGATGTGCATCTGTGGCGTCTTGTGAGAATCACTGGAATTGTAGGCAGGATAATGGCCCCCAGAGACAGGTGTGGCTTAATCCCTAGGACCTCTGACTACATCATCTTATATAGCAAAAGGATCTCTGCAGGTGTGATCTAGTTAAGTTATTGGATGGGGAGACTGTCCTGGATTGTCCAGGAGGAGTTCTTCAGAGTGGAGGACCTTTTTCCACGGGCCAGAGAGAGGACACTTGGTTTTGCAGACAGAGGGATGCGCCAGGAACCGAGGAACAAGCGGTGGCCTCTGGAAGCTGGAGTGCAGGAAACGTATTATCTCTGCCAGACTGACTTACAGACCATAGGATAATACATTTGTGTTGCTTCAAGCCAAAAAAAAAAAGACTTTCTTTCTTCTCTTTCCCTCAGGTATCATTTCTTTTAGTGATATCCCACTCTGGACTGCCTCCTCTTCCTGGCTGGGTCTTTCATGAGGTCTAAGATTTATTACTGACACTCTCTGACCCCTTCCCCCCAACTGTTAAAATATCTAGTCTACAACATCTCAGGGTCTAAAGTGGTAAAGGGCTCATGCTCATGCTGCATAACTCAAGAGATTGTTGATGCCAGTAGACAGAATACTGATCTGGTAAAGGTGATCTCATTTCTACAAGGAGATGGGCCACCAGCCAGTTCTGCAGACCTTGACTGCTCAAGCTCCCTGGGCTATACTTTTTTTATATATAAAATGTGGATTTTTGTCTAGATCAGTAGTTTCTGTAAGCAGCTTTGTATCACTGGTTCTGGATATGTTCTAGGATCATATGCATTTAGAAATTGCTGTATATCACCTTTTCCAATATCATAAAGTTAAAGGCTCTGACAAGTCTTTGAAATAAAGAAACTTAAAAAAAATTAATAATTGACCTCTTGGGGGGGAGGGGTAGAATGTTGGTAGTTTCTTAGAGAACTCTATGGAAATCACTGATTAAACTTTCTGGAAAGCTTGGCTATAATTGTACATCCTTCATTTCCAACGGCAGCTGCTGTGGGTGCAGGGAAGAATAGGCCAGGATCTCTGCCTTTCAGGCATAAAGGATCCAATAGGGGAGGAATAGAAATACACGTGGGACGGAATGATAATTGTAGACTGAAAGTGTATTCACATGGTAATGGGCACGGGGACTGCGAAGCAAGTATTTCCCCCGGTATAGGACAGCAGATGAGGAGAGGAAGACTTCACTGAGTGATTGCAATAATTTACCAGGCGGAGAAGGTGGTTCCTTCCACCACCAGGTTGTTCCTTCCACCAGACATTCTAGGTGGAAGGAACAACATAGCCCAGAGATATAAAATCCCAAGGTACATTCTATGCCTATGAAATAATTTTGTGGTTATAAAGCTTAGGGTGCCTCGGGAAAGAGGGGAGGAACAAAGTTCTGGAAGATGAGTGAAGGCTGCCTCCAAATGCTTTAAGTGCCATTCTAAGAAGCCTGAAATTTATTCTAATAAGGCAATAGGAAACCATCCTTAGATTGGTTTTTAATCAGGAGAATTACCTGATCAATAAGAATCTGGAAAGAGAACTCTGGAGGGTTAAGGCAGAGAGAAGGAGGAAGAGATTAGCAGAAACTAATTGTGATTCTGTTGAAATGGCTCAGGTGAGAAATGATAAAGGCCTGCATAATGACAGTGGCAAAAGGATGAGATGGAGGAAAGAGACTTGGTGGAAATTTAGGAGCTCCACAGACCGTGATGAATGAACAGTTGGATAAGAGGCAGGAAAGAAAGAGGAATACAAAATAACTACCATATTAGCTCAGGCCAGTGTTACGTATATGGAATGGCTTACAGCTTACTGGGATAAGAATGTAAAGGCCTGAACTGACTCACAGGCTTGGACTCGAATGGGAGGGTCTTTGACACACAGTTGTTTTCCTGTAAAAATACATTTTTGTGTTTCAGAGCTCAAGAATGATTTAACTAAAGACTATAAAGTCTTCTTCTTCTTCTGCTGCTGCTGCTTCTGCTCCTCCTCTTCCTCCTCCTCCTCCTTCTTCTTCTTTTTAGACAGAGTCTCACTATGTTTCCCAGGCTAGAGTGCTGTGGCATCATCATAGCTCACAGCAACCTCAAACTCCTGGGCTCAAGCAATCCTTCTGCCATAGCTGTGCAAGTAGCTGGGATTACTGGCACCACCACAGTGCCCAGCTAGTTTTTCTATTTTTAGAAGAGATGGGGTCTTGCTCTTGCTCAGGCTGGTCTTGAACTCCTGAGCTCAAGTGATCCTCCAACCTCGGCCTCCCAGAGTGCTAGGGTTATAGGCGTGAGCATTTTTTTTTAGAGAATTCCAGCATCCACCAAAATATCTACTTCATAGTGAACTTTAGTAAAGATTTAATATTATTGTCAACAAAGCAGCATTTAAATCTGCAGATTTCTTCTGATTTTGCCTCTAAATGACAAATAATCATTTATGAGAGTATAAACTCATTTGGTTTCTTAGTCAATCTAAAACTCTTCTTTTAGCCATGCATTATTTTATATACGCTAATATTTCAGTAGCCATTTGTGAAATTATTTCCATTTTCTAGGAGGAAACAGTATAGGACAGTGACAATTTTAGTGATGATTTACATATCAAACCATTATTTTTGAAACTAATCCTAAATTTGGGGCAGTCTTGATAATGCATTAAAAACATACTGTGTCTACAGTCAGGTAGTGAGGTTTTTTCCAAAACTATCTTTGTAAAAATCAGGCAAATATTTTTCTTTTGGAAGAAGTCCATGTTTGTATATTGTATAGAGGTAGAGAACGATTTTAAAGACATGTTTTCCCAACAACCTTTTGAAGTAAAAGTTTCTTTTATTTATGGAGAGAACTCCCTTTGAGAGTCAGGATATGGAAACTGTACAGCATGGCACGGACCGTTTACACAAAACAGTCCACACCTCCCTGAGTCAGTCAGAGAGTTTTGCCCTTACCTGGACAGTCGGCTTCTAGAAACAAAGTGTGCAACCCCCAGTCACTGATCCATGCCCACAGTTCCATTTTGAATTTTTTTGTCCAAGAGGACCCAGAATCCAGAAACTCAGTGGTGGAAAGGAGCTGTCCCTAGGTATAATTTATCAGAGGAAGAAAGCACAGTGTCCACCTTAAAAGCAAACCAAGCTATCGAAATGACTACATGTTATAAAATGAGCACAATAGGGGCAGTCAGAGATCGACTTCTGAGAATTTTTTCCTTCTACGTCATAAAGAAATAAAGATAAATGAATGGTCTGGTCTTATCACGATAAGCAAGGCTGCCGCTCCTTTTGCTCCTTTCTGCAACTGTGGAGCATTTAAGGCAGCGCCGGAACTGTTTTGAAATATACTTAGAAGTTTGAAAGGGCAAGCACATGTGAAGGGTGTCTCACTCTTCTGAGGTTAGTGATAATGGTCACTTATGTCTAAGCCTTGAGATTTTAAGTGCATTTTATTGCATTGGGAAGAAATTTTGTTTTGAGAGAATGCAACACAAAACTGAGTTGAAACACAGTGCCCCTTTACCTTAGAGCACAACAGCCTCATTTCTGTGTAGTTGAAATAGAGGGCAGGGACGTCAGGCTGTGCTTCCTGAATTCACCAACCTAGTATCTCTCTGCCATTCTCTCCTGTGATCCAGCGCCACTCCCTACACTTGATATCTGTTTACTTTAGAGGAGGCAGTTTTAGAGAAAGGATCATAAATATCCTGGCCCAGAGCCCCAGGAGCCATGACAAGCAAAAGAACACGCTCACTTGGAGATAGGCTTTGTGATATTTAAATGTGTGGGTTAATTTTTTATCCACTTTAATAACTGGGATTTTTTTTCACCCTCTCTACTTCTTTGCTTTCTGTTGCTGCTCTGAAGCTGTGGGCACAGAAATCTCTGCAGGCAAATCACTCCAGAACATATTGCAGGACAATCTTCTAAGAACAGTTGAATTCCAGGCATCTGGACTCCTAATCCTTTTTGGAGATGGCAGGTGTGAGTGGCTGTATAAAATATTCTATGTTTATCTTCAACTTCTTGTTCTGGGTAAGTGTTTTTCTTTAAATTATCAATTTTATGCAAGAAAGGGGATCTTGATATAAATATCATAAACAAGAGCAGACTCTGCTCTGGAGGAGGGAGGAGAGAAAATTTATTTTCCATTTACTTGTTTGGATTTGTCTGTTCTTTCTTTGCTTATTTTGGTGATTGAAAATGAGCCAATGCCTCAGAAAAGTACACTTTCGAATCTGTGAAGATAAACATTTCATAAATGTTTTGATATTGCTGCAAAAACAATCACAGAGGAAAACATACCCCTTAATTAGGGAACAATTATTCTTAGTTGTATATCAAGCAGGTTTTCCCAGCCCGAGGACCCTGTGGGAGAAACCTGGGCTGATCCCCCCAACCCAGAGCCCGGGCCCTTCCCAGTTCCCACCCTTCACATCTGGGATGGAAACAGGTGAATTGAGGGGTGTGGGATGACAGAGACCTGAGGATCGTTTTCAAAGCCCAACTAAGAAATAATCAGTCACGAAAAACTTGAGGAGCAAATAATTAAACTACTTGATCATAAGAAGAAGATTAAACTAAGCCTGGGGATTTGTAGCATTCTAAAGTCAGTATCTCCATGTGTTGTCACCCCACCTTTTAACCTTCGGGGTTTCTATTTTAGCAAGTTGTGTTTCTCTTGAAAGTCGACTGACACAGACATAACCAACAAATTGATTGTTAACATTTAGCATTGGAAAATGGAAAGAGGAGGTGTGAGACTGCAGCTGGAATGTTGGGAAATGACCTTATCATTTTTCATGCGTACAGTGCAATTAAAGACTGCTTAGAAGTAAATCAGTGGAAATAGCTCAAAGTGCTTAGGTGAAAAGAGAGATATTATGGATATTGGATTTAAAAAATAGCTTATTCAGTATAAGGAGGAAAGAACTCTGGTTTTGTTTTTGTACCTGGTTGGCTTTAGTAAACAGAAAGCTGATATCCATGTTTTAGTAAATTTCTGTTCTATGAAAATTATCATGGACTTAATTACATGAATACAGTTTTATTATATAGAATGACTTTCCATTCAATGGTGAGCAGCTCTAATGAATGCAGATACTATGTGGGTGAATAAAGAAGTGAGTATACAAATAAATAAAATAAAGAGTTATTCTTTGCACTTTTCCCTGGAGAAATGGTCTGCTTTTGCAAATATTAAATGAAGCTCATGCAGATAGGCCAGTTTTTCAAGATAGTTTTGATAAATATCTTCCCTTGAATTATTTGGATTTGATTAAACATTGTGAGGAGAATATAAAGAAAGAAAAGCCTCTGTTCTTTGGTTTTATTTTGGTTTTAGCGTTTCATTGGGGCGTGCTTCAAACATCCACCAAAGAGCACAGACTGGGCTAACTGACCCAGTCATCCAGCCCCAGCAGCCACAAAAACATGGCTGATGTTCTTCATCCAAGCCCTTAGTCACTCCTACCCCACGTTACTTTGAAGCATATCCCAGATCTATCATTTCATCTGTTAATATTTTAGTATACATTTCTGAAAGATAATCATTCTTTTACAATATGTAACCACTGTATCATTATCACACTTAAGAACTTAACAAAGATCCACCCTGGGTTCAAAATTCCAAAATTGCCTCATAAAGGTCCCTGTTTGAATCAGGATGCAAATAAGATCCACATTCAGTGATGGATTAATACATCTTTTATGTCAGTTTTAATCTGTGGGTTTTCCCTCCATCTTCATTTCTTTTTCTCCCTTGAATTTTTATGTACTGGTGTTTATTGCTTTATCGCATTTCTCAGGGTACGGGTTTGTGATTTGCACACCCAGGGTAAAGTTTAACATGTTCCCCGACGTCTTTATTATCTGTAAGTTAGTGGTTGTACCTGGCAGCCTGATAATATTCAGAGGTTTTTTTTTTTTTTTTTTTTTGACACAACTACTTCCTAAATGGAATTCCATTCTTGCATAAGGAAGCACATGAAGTCTGGTGGTGTCACTAGCTGGGATATTAGTGCCATTGATGCTGAAGCATCTGTATTTATTATTCATTATGATTAGCTCATTAACAGGTTCAAATTGAAATTCTAGTTCTATCGACTTTTTCATTTATTAGCTGGAAAACTTTCAATAAGAAAAAGGCTCATCTAGTGTTTGGTACCTTGCTTTTATTGTTATTTTTTCTAAAGTAGCATAGATATTTCTTTCTTACGCTTTACTCACCAGATTTCAAAACAATGAGCTAACTTTCTAGTGCTATCCAACAGTGATAGACTAGTATGTATCATTATAAAATGCTAGATCCGCTCCACTGGTTTTTGCCCTTATTGATTTGCAATTTATTTCGTCTTACGCTAGTAGGAGATTCAAGTTGGTGCCTGAGTCCTTTGGACACGATCCTACTACCTTTGAGAAACTCATCACTGTTTGCTATGACAAGGTGCTCCAGGCTCAGCTGTCTTTTCTCTACTCAGACTGGAATCAGCTATTTCTCCAAGAAGTCCTGACAACTGCCTTTAAAGAATACATGTGTGTGTCCATATGGCCCATCTAAAAAACCAAAGTATCAATGTGCGAATAGTTGTATATATCTTTTTATAGTATAAAAACACCATGATAAGTGCTAATAGCTCTTTGTGAATACATCAGAGATCTGTGTTTCATTAACTAGCTAATCAGGAATCTGTAATAAATCTGAATTTTAAACCAAAAT